TCTTTCTCTCTCTGTTTTTTTTTGTTTGTTTGTTTGTTTGTTTGTTTGTTTTTGACAGGCAGAGTGGACAGTGAGAGAGAGAGAGACAGAGAGAAAGGTCTTCCTTTTGCCATTGGTTCACCCTCCAATGGCCGCTGCGGCTGGTGCACTGCAGCCAATGCACTACGCTGATCCGCTGGCAGGAGCCAGGTACTTATCCTGGTCTCCCATGGGGTGCAGGGCCCAAGTACTTGGGCTATCCTCCACTGCACTTCCCAGGCCACAGCAGAGAGCTGCCCTAGAAGAGGGGCAACCAGGACAGAATCCGGCACCCCAAGCAGGACTAGAACCTGGTGTGCCGGCTCCACAAGGCGGAGGATTAGCATAGTGAGCCGCGGTGCTGGCCGAGGGTTGCAGTTTCTACACATTCTTATTGACACCTGATATTTTATTTCTTAGATTACAGCCATCCCAATTGACGTAAACAATTATCTCATTGTGGTTTTGAATTGCATTTCCTTATAGCTAATGACATTGGACACTGTTTTGGTTGCTATTTGTACATCATCTTTGCCAAATGTCTATTTAGATATCTTGTTGTTAATAATTGGCTAATTTTTCTTTTTATTATTGAGTATAATAATTCTTTATATGAGACCAACATTGTGGAATAGCAAGCTGAGTCATGGCATGTAATATCAGAATCCTATATTGGTGCACTGGTTGAAGTCCTAGGTGCTTTCCTTCTAATTCAGTGTCTTGTTGATGTACCTGGGAAGGCAGCACAAGATGGCCCAAGAATTTGTGCTCCTGATACTCATTTGAGAAACCTGGGTGGAGTTATTGGCTCTTGGCATCAGCTTGGCCCAGCACTGTTATGTATATTTGGGGAGTGAACCCACAGATGGAGGATCTCTCTCTCTCATTCAAATAAATCAGTCCTTTTTTTTTTAAAGTTCCTCATATATTTTAGATAAAAATATCTGACCTGATACATAATTTATAAATGTTTTATCACATTCTACAGGTTGTCCTTTTATCTTTGTTGATGTATTTTGAAGCATGCAAAAATTTAGTTCTGATGAAATCTCATTAACATTATTATTTCTTTGTTTTTTGGTTACATATATAAAAAACCCTTACTTAAAGACATGAAGATGTATTCCTGTTGTTTTTGTTTCCTGAGAGCTTCATAGTTTTAGTTATGAGATTTAAGTGTGTAATGCACTTGAAATTATGTTTTATGAGAGTGTTTATGTATTTAAAGAAGAGATTCAACTTTTTTCTCTTGGATGTAAATATTCAGTTATCTCAGCACAATTTGTTGAGAATATTATTTTCCCCATTGATTAGGCTTAGCTCCCTCATCCAAAACCAATGGTACATAAAAGTGAGGGCTTATGCATAGGCCATGGAAGGCTGCTCTCCTGGAGATTGTATTCAAAATAATTAGTCAAGAAAATGAAAATTACTCAGACTGGGATTTAGGTTTAAGTCTGTCCTATGACAACACTATACTTTCTTGAATACTGCACTTCTGCAGTCTGTTTTTAAGTCAACTTTGTTTTTTCTTTTTTAGTTTGTTTTGGTTGTTGTGGTTTTTTCACATTCCCACATAAATTTTAGAATCAGTTTGCTAATTTCTGTAAAAAACTCAACTGAGAATTTAATATATATTGTATTGAGTATGTAGATTTATATCTTAACAATGTTAAATATTTGAGTCCATGAGCACAAAGTTATGATTTATTTAGGTCTTCTTTAACAATTTTTCAGAAATATTTTGTAGTTTTCAGTTTACTTTTCGCAATTTTAATTTTTAAATCTTTTTTATAAGATTTTGTTTATTTACTTGAAAGTCAGAGTTACATAAGGAGAGAGAAAGAGAGGAGGAGAAAGAGAACCATCCATCTGCTGGTTCACTCCACAAAGGGTCACAAAAAATGATATTTATTTTATTTATTTGAAAGAGTTACAGAGAGAGTTAGAGACACAGAGAGAGGTCTTCCATCCACTGGTTCACTCCCCAGGTGGCTGCAATGGCCAGAATTGCGCTGATCCAAAGCCAGGAGCCAGGAGCTTCTTCCAGGTCTCCCACAGGGGTGCAGGGCCCCAAGAACTTGGGCCATCTTCTACTGCTTTCCCAAGCCATAGCAGAGAGCTGGATCAGAAGTGGAGCAGCTGGGACTTGAACCAGCACCCATATGGGATGCTGGCACTGCAGGCGGTGGCCTTACCCACTATGCCACAGCACTGGCCCTGCACTTTTAATTTTTAATTTTAACTCATTTTGATGTTCCATTAAATCCAATTGATTTTACTTCCATTTTTTCAGAAAGTTCATTGCTCATGTATAAAGCTAAAATTGAATTTTGTATCCTCACTGAAACATGACACTAATAGTTTTAGGCGTATTTTAAAAATATTTTCATCAAAGAATAAAGATAGGCTTATTTCTTGGTTTTCATTCTGAATAACTTTCATTTTCTTGCCTAATTGTATTGGATAGAATTTTAAATATAAAGTTGAATAGAGGATTGCTGTTCACATTCTTATTGATACCTGCTATTTTATTTCTTGGATTACTGCCATCCCGGTTTGGGTAAACAATTATTTCATTGAGGTAAACATTATCTCATTGTGAAGGAAGATATCCTTGTCATATTTCAGATTATACAGGAAAACTATTCAGTGTTTTAGCATGAAAGGTGGTATCAGCAGGAAAGAGTTTTGTTATTGTATGTTTTTGTTTTGCTTTATTTTGTTCTTGGTACCCCCTCATCAGATTGAGGAGGTTCTCTTCTATTTCTAGTTAATGGAATTTTTTACCATGAAGGGTATTAAATTTTTATAAATACTTTTCTGTATCAATTAAGGTAGTCACAGCATATTTTAACTCTTTTTATATTGATATTGAACGTTATATTTTTAGATTTTAAATCATGTCCTGAATGTAAATCGTAAGTAATGTATACTTCTCTTTGTATATTGTTGGCTTTGTTTTGCTAGCTGTATTAAGGATTTTTAATCTATATTCACAAGAGATATTGATCTCAATTTACTCATGAATTCTTTTTCAAGTTTGGATATTAAGGAAATATTAGCCTCATCCAATAAAGTTTGAAAATTCTCCTTTGTCTATGATCTTCATATATATATATGATATATATCATATATATATATATATAAACTTAATTACACTGTGATACAGAAATATTTCTTGTAAGTAGCTTTATTTCTACTTCCTCTAGAGTGTCAGTCTGAGTGCCCTGTTGCTCACTCACTCATAAATAAATACAAATTAAAACAATAAATTACTTATCAGATTGTAGAAAATCTAAAAGCACAATTTTTTGGCCACTTTGTGAACAGATACACATTCTATTATATTGCTAGGAACTCAAACACACACACACACACATCTACCCCCATAAGAGAGTGCTTGAATAGCTGCAGAACATACAGTAAAGCCCTGTGCAACAACATAGAGAATAAAGTCATGGGGCTGGAAAGTGGTACACTGAGTTAAGTCACAACCTGTGACACCAGTAGCTGATAATGGAGTCCCTATTCAAGCCCTGGCAAGTCCACTTGTGATCCAGTTTACTGCCACTATACCTGGCAGGAATGTGGAAGGTGGCCTACATACTTACAACCCTGCCACTCAAATGGAAAACCAGAATGAAGTTACTGACTCCAGACTTCAGCCTGGCAAAGACTTGACTGTTGATGTGGCCATTTGGAGAGTGAAGCACTAGATGAAAGATCTTTTTCTCTCTCTTTCACCTTTTCAAACAACTTCAAAAATAAGGGCAATCACTGACATATAAAGTGATTTTCAGAATATATTGCTAAATACAAAAAGTACAATTGAAAAAAAATATCCATAGTGTGCTGTCATCATTAAGAAATACAGGGGGCACATTTGACTAGCTTAGTGGTTAAGACACTAATTAGCATGACTGAAACCCATATCAGTAGACCTAGGAGATGGTGATTAAACTCAAGTGAGGTTTCCTCCTCTCACAAGGGAGACCTGACTTCAGTTTTTGGTTCCCGACCATTACACATAAAAAGTCTTAGAGATCAGCAGGAGAAGCTGAGGTACCCTCCAGCCCTCAAATCTAGATATTCTTCCTCCTAGGGTTTCTATTCAAAATATTGATTCCTGGAGACAGATTTTGATTGGCCCAAGGGTCCTTGAAGCCAACATGTATAGATAAGTGGATAGATAGATAGATAGGAGCCCTCATATATAGATATAGTAAGAAAGGTCTTGCCCCATCAAGGGACCTCTGGGAAGGAAAGTGACTAATCTTGGCCTTCTCAGGAGTTTACTCCTCATTCCCGTGAGAGGCAATGGAGGGGCAGGATTTTACTAATAGCATCCCTCACAGGCATCTCCTTAACTGAGGAGACTTTCTGTCACCTGACAAGTCTCTGAAGTCTCTGGTGGCAGTGGTCTATTGGAAAGCAGCATGAACAAGCTTCATTTTCACTCCCTACCTAGAGACTAGAGAAGCAGTTCAAGATCTTCCTGTTCCTACCAAGAATCCCGGTGTTCTCTTCCTTCTTTCTTTCCTTATACCACCTTGTATCTCTTTCTCTCAATTCCTTTCCCAGCCCCGTTCAACAGCTCTGTTTCAATTTTCCACCACCATATGGCAGTGGAGAGGATGGACCAACATTCTGGTCATGAGGTTATTTGGATAAATGGTTATCAGTTGATTCCAGGGAGCAAATCTTGGGTGGGAGCAGAAACCCACCCTAGGCTCCAGGCCTAGGCCCCAGATTTAGTGCAGAACCAGCTAGCCAATTACATAAAAAGAGTTTCAAGGCAGCTAATTGCACTTTACTGTATCAAACATTAGTACTTTGCCTTCTTTATATTTTCAATACCTGCATAGTTTTCCATTCCTAACAAGAATTTATCCTAGTAGCACCCACAGATGCCTGTATGGGTGTGCTTGTACTAATCTTGTTTTTTTTTTTATTTTTTTTATATTAGGGACAGTACTGACCTGATTACCAGTTTTTGGAGTACAGGGGCCTCTTGGGTAGCTGCCATGCCTTTAACATTCATGGTGGTGCCTCTCGTCTCCAGTGGGCACCAGGTTTGCATTGGCAGGCGTTTTTCTGCTGTTCTGGAAATAAGGAAGGTGTGAGTCATTCATGGTAGAGGGTTAGCAAAGGGAAAGACTCCTTTTCTAGTCACCAGTGCCAGCTTATTGAGATAAGAAAGAAACTACTAAGATGTTCTCACCACGGCCAATATATTTGACAGGCTTTCATATGTTCTCCAAGATCTTAAAACGTATGACCAGCTTGTCACAATGAGAAAACAATTCTCACAAAGATTATGAGAACTACTGTTTTGAAATGCTCTTGACTCAGGGTTTTTCATTTTTCCAGGTGCCCTATCAGCCAGTCCAACACCTGGAGGAGAGATCTCATAGCAGGATATCTTGGTTACATTAGGTAAGCCAAAGAATACTTTGCTGAGAAAGTAGCTTTGAGCTACTTCTTACCAAGGAATGATACATTTTAGAGAGGTGAATGGTGACAAAGTTATTATAGGGGCATGTATAAAGACCTGTGGTTGAGAAGGGGGTCAAAAGAAGACCTAGAATTTTGAATGAGAAAAGAAGGCAGGTACTAGTCAGCATGAGAAGTAACCAGACTACATTGCGAGCAAAGCCAGCAACTTTCTGCCAGAATTCTTGCCCAATCCTGTGGTCAAGGCAGCAGGAGGACACCTAGAGCACTGGGAGATTCAGCAAGGGCAGAGGTGTCACTCAGCACAGACAATTTCAAGGTGGAACTGCAGCTCTGCAGCCTAGAGGGCCTTGGAGGGCAGTACCAGTAGAGCTGTGCTTTTTTTTAATATTTGTTTTATTTATTTGAAAGACAGAGTTACAGGGAGATGTAGAGCCAGAGAGAGAGGTCTTCCATTCACTGGTTCACTCCCCAAATGGCCATAATGGCCAGAGCTGAGCTGAGCTGAAGCCAGAAGCCAGGAGCTTCTTGCACATGGGTGCAGGAGCCCAAGGACCTGGCCATCTTCTACTGCTTTTCCAGGACATAGCAGGGAGCTGGATGGGAAACAAAGCAACTGGGACTCAAACTGGTGCCCATGTGGGATGCTGGCACTGCAGGCCAGGGCTTTAACCCACTGTGCCACAGTGCTGGTCCTGAGCTGTGCTTCTGATATTTGCAGTAACAAGAGATGTACAAAGTCAGAGTGGGTAGGGTCAAATACATGACACCAGGAAGAAATCAAGCAGGTCTACTGCAGAATAGACTAGAAACATCATGTCTGTTTTGGGCTCCCAGAGGTATTAGAAGAATTTAATACAGAGTCAGAGAAATATTGTTCTCTTCTGCCCATAAACCATAGCTCTGGGGAAATACAGAGGCCATTCAGCTTCAACCACCCTGTTGAAAACATACAAGGCTGGCACCACAACTCAGTAGGCTAATCCTCCACCTGCAGCACAGGATCACTGAGTTCTAGTCCTGGTCGGGGCACTGGATTCTGTCCCAGTTGCTCCTCTTCCAGTCCAGCTCTCTGCTGTGGCCTGGGAATGCAGTGGAGGATGGCCCAAGTGCTTGGGCCCTGCACCCACATGGGAGACCAGGAGAAGTACGTGGCTCCTGGCTTCAGATCAATGTGGTGTGCTGGCTGCAGTGCGCCAGCTGCAGCGGCCACTGGGGGGTGAACCAACAGAAAAGGAAGACCTTTCTCTCTGTCTCTCTCTCTCACTGTCCACTCTGCCTGTCAAAAAAAAAAAAAAAATACAAGTGACTCTCACCTTTTAACACAACTGGCTTGTTTGCATTAAGAACACAATAGCCCAGGATCTGTTTGGGTCCTGCTACAATTGAGAACAGCACTCAGTGTTTCCCTGATTTTTGCCCTGTACATTAACTTGGAATCACTCTACAATCTTAGCCCACCCTGCTCCTCCTTGTAATCTGGCTTCTGCCTTCCTCCCACGGATCAGGGAAGTGGCTTTCAAAAGCACCATGGTGGTCACTAGGATTTCTGGCCATGTTTTTCTGCCTTTCATTCAATCCAGATATGCGATGGGATACTTTCCGATCTATGTATGGAGTTGGAGAGGCACTGTGAAACCTGTTCTGGCCAATGAGTTTTAAATGGGGATGGAATGTGACAGGAGGCAAAGATGGAAACACACTGTACCATAACTTATGGGATGCAGCCCAAACTATCCTGAATGGGAAGTCCAAGTCAATGAGCACCTACATAAAAAGAAAGACTTCAAATAGACGACTGAGCATTACTACTGAAGGAAGAATAAAAAATAACAAAGTATCAACAAATTTAGCAAACAATTAACAACAAGGATTAGGAAATGACAAAAGAAACCTGAAAAACAACAGAAAGGATTAACATAACTACTGCTTTAAAAATATTTATTTAAAAGGCAGATATATGTATGCATATATATGTATTCATATATGATACACACACATCTCTCTCTCAGAGAGAGATACAGAGATATCATCCAACTGTGTTTTATTACTTAAATGTCCATAAAAAACCAGGGCTGAGCCAGGTCAAAACCAGGAGTGAGGAACTCACCCAGGCCTTCCATGTGGATAGTAGGGACCCAAGTAATTGATCCATCACCTGCTGTTCCCCACTGTGAAGTTAGCCAGAAGCTGCAATCAGGAATACAGACAGGACTCAAATCCAAACACATGGATGAAGACATCTTAAATGGCATTTTAATTGCTAAACAAAATACCTGCCCTGAAGCTTTTCTTTCAAAATGATAATTAATGATCCCTAATTCAGAATACCAAAGAAAAAAGTGTAAAGACTGAAAAAAAATGTAAGTGAGAAAGGAGACAATATAACTGATGCCACAGGAATACGAAAGATCATGAGAATACCGTGAATACGCAGAGGAAATGGAGGATTCCTTAGGAATATGCAACTAATAAAATTGAGTTGGGAACAAATAGAAAACATGGACAGAACACTAGCCAGCAAAGGGATTAAACAAAGAATAAAATGCATCCAATTAAAATAAATTTAGAACATATACACTTTGCTACTGGATTCTACAAAATACATAAATAAGAAATTGCAGCAATTCTATAATTCTTTTGAAAGATGAAGAGGAACAAATAATTCCAAGTTCATTTCATGTGACCAGCTCTTCTGATTCAAAAACCAAGCAACAGTGATGATGTTCTTATGTAGCCAGTTAAGCCCCAACTTGCTGTGCTGGTGCTGAAATTCCTAACAGAAGAAAGCTACAGGCCAGCATCCCTGACAGACACAGATGGAACATTTTTGACAAAGTCTGAACAAACTAAATTCAACATTACATTTAACAAGATCCTCAAGCCAGATTTCCAGAAATCTAAGGGTAGCACATATGTAAGTCAATTAATATAAATATTAAGAATAATAAACAATAAAACACATGATTACCTCAGTAAATGCACAAAATACATTTTCATTTTTCTCATATGAACTTTTAAAAAATAGCTACAGAAGGAACTTGACAGGTTCCACTAGCTCCATCGCCGCCATCTCTGGACACCCATTCCCGCATATACTCACCATTTCATAGTTTCGTCTTCACAGAGCAAGGGACTAGAGCCTGGATATGACTGTGACATGAAAATCTCACATGGTTACATGTTGTCCCCCTCACCCCTAGCACACTCGATTGGACAGTTTGAAATCCAATGGCCATCTATGATGTAACAAATGCTGTAACCAATCAGCAGCCACCATAGCAAGGTGGGGGGCAGTCACTAGGAGTTACACAGTTTGGAAGAGTGAGACACCAGGGCTCAGGTCTGAAGATGGCTCCTCCAAAGCCTGATTTTTCTTACTGTGGGGGACCCACCAGTTCCATGCTCTGGCATGGACCTGTGATGCAGAGCTTGCAGAGGAGTAATAAACCTGCTTATAAACCTGCTTCAGGTGAGTTACAGTGTACCAGCCATGAACGCATTCTTATTTTTTTAATTGGTGCACATATATTGACATTTTAGGAATTTCCTGACCATGAAATATGTTTTTCTTCTCTAACAGGTACTATCAAAATTTCCACCAGTTTAATCTCCTAGGAGCAACATTGGATTATTCCAGTTGATTCATCCTTATAATACTTTGAATATTTTCACCATTACTTGCTGTCTAATTTTTTTGTTTCCCATATTTGCTTTATCTTTCATTCAATGTAGTAATATAGAAGTTTGCATAAGCAACTATTTAAATGTTAATACCACTTTATTTTTTTCACTTAAAAATATAGAGATTATTTTGTAGTAGTTTAAGTGTTCCTTGCTTCTTAATTGTGCCTTTGAACAAACAGAAACTTGTAATTATAGTGAAATTCAGTTTATCAACTTTTTACTTAGTATTATAAGCTTTTAAACAGTTGTAGCCCCCTGTGCAAGATGTACTAGGTTATTTTTTAGAACATTGTTGCCCAATAAAATTTTTTGACATTGAAAATTTTCTTAACTAAGACTTAACACTTGAAATGTAGTTAGTGAAATGGTATGATTTTATTTTAAATGCAAATAATTTTAATTAATTTAAGCTTAAAATTAGATAGACACATTTGGTTACTGGTTGTGTAGATACAGAGGCTTTCTTTTCTAACTTACACAGTTGGATAATAAATCACCTAAAATTGCTTTTTGAATATGTTATCACATAGGAGTCAATATTGATTTTTCCACATATAAATCCAGTTGGATTTTCTATATACACACCATACTTTAATAAAAAGACCATCTTTATTTCACTATGTACCCTGCAGTGCCATCTGCATTATAAAGGAAGTGAATATATATATATATATTCAAGTATATATATATATATATTTGTTCTACTTTTGAACTATTTTATTTCTTTGGCCCACATGTCCTTTTTAGTACCAACAGCATTTGCTTAACTACAGTAGCTTTCAATTTGAAATCACATATAATTGTGTAAAGTCTCCAGTTTTTTCTTATTACTGATTATCATAGCTATTCTGGATCTTTGTATTTCTGTGTAAGCTGTAGAAACAACCTGTCATTTTTTACCAAAAATCCATTATCTGATTTTTTAATTGGTATCACATTGGATCTTTAGGAAATAATGCATTTACCTACAATATTTTGCTTAGATTTTTATTGAACTATAAAATGGGTTTTATTGACATATTGATAATATTGAGATGTGATTTACTCATACAGCATATACTTCTATTTATTTTATTCATTATTTTCATTACATTTAGTGCTACCCTAAATATAATTTTTAAACATTTATTATTTTAAATATCTGTCTGAAAAACCTTGACAGAGATCTGTTGATTCACTCCCAAACTGCCTGCAATAGGCCAAATTCAGAAGACTGTAACTGATTTTGGGTATCTCACCTGAGTGACAGGGACCCACATACTTGAACCATCACCACTGCCTCCCAAGACACATGTTAGCAGGACTCTGAACCCAGGCACTTAGATATAGTGTATGGGTGTCTTAACCATACCGTTAAATCTCTGCTCCATTATTTTGACAATTTAATTATAAAATTTGTATCGCAAATTTATAGAATTAAAACTGATTTTATATTAATTTGCATCCAATGACCCTGCTACACTTCTTTAAAATATTTTACTTTATTATTTTAGATTTGCTACACGTGCTGTCATGACATATCCAAATGATGTTAGGTCCATTATCTTTGTTTTTACTTTGTAATCATATAGCTTTCCTGTTGAAGGCTCTATATTGTGATATAGAAGGGATGATAATGAATAGTCTTGTCTTATTCCTGGCTTTAAGAGGATGTTTTTTATATTCAATGTAAAATATTTGGCTAGCTGGTGTTGTGGCTCACTAGGCTAATCCTCCACCTGTGGCACCAGCACCCCGGGTTCTAGTCCTGGTCGGGGCGCCGGATTCTGTCCAGGTTGCTCCTCTTCTGGTCCAGCTCTCTGCTGTGGCCCGGGAGTGCAGTGGAGGATGGCCCAAGTCCTTGGGCCCTGTGCCCACATGGGAGACCAGGAGAAGCACCTGGCTCCTGGCTTCCAATGGGTGCAGCATGCCGGACACAACACGCCAGCCGTGGCTGCCACTTAGGGAGTGAACCAACAGAAAAAAGAAGACCTTTCTCTCTGTCTCTCGCTCTCTCTCACTGTCTAACTCTGCCTGTCAAAAAAGAAAAAAAGAAAAAAATATTTGGCTAGATTTTCTTCAAAGATCAAGAGATCCCCTTCCTTTTATAATTACTAAAGTTCTTCTTTCAACCACGATTAGGTATTGAATTTATCATATTTTTCTGTTTATGGAAATGATTGTATGATTTGCATCCTCTTATTCAAATCGTAAGTTATATTGGTTCATGACAAACTTTAAAATATTGCATTGATTAAGATTTAAATCCATCTTCTAACACATTCAGGTTGATTGTTACAAATTAATGGTTTAGGGGCTGGCATTGTAGCATAGTTGGTAAAGCCAGTGCCTGCAATGCGGGCATCCCATAGGGGCACAGGCTCTTATCCTGATTGCTCTATTTCCAATCCAACTCCCTACTAATTGCCTGGGAAAAGCAGTGGAAGATGGCCAAAGTGCTTGGGACCCTGCCACCCAAATGCGAGACCCAGACAAATCTTCTGGATCCAGGTTTCATCCTGGCCCAGCCCTAGGTGTTGTGGCCATCTTGGGAGAGAACCTGTGGATGAAAGGTATTTTTCTCTCTTCCTCTCTAACTCTGACTTTCAAATAAATAAATGTATCTTTTATTTTTATTTTTTATTTTTTTACAGGCAGAGTAAGAGAGAGAGACAGAGAGAAAGGTCTTCCTTCCATTGGTTTACCCACAAAATGGCTTCTATAGCTGGCGCACTGTGCTGATCTGAAGCCAGGAGCCACGTACTTCTCCTGGTCTCCCATGGGGTGCAGGGCTCAAGCACTTGGGCCATCCTCCACTGCACTCCCGGGCCATAGCAGAGAGCTGGACTGAAAGAGGAGCAACCGGGACAGAATCCAGTGCCCCAACTGGGACTAGAACCTGGGGTGCCGGCGCCACAGGCAGAGGATTAGCCAAGCGGCGCTGGCCAAGACAGAACATTTTTCATTATAATGCCTAGGATTTTTGTGTGTGTATGCTAGGTTGATAGAAAGTAAGGATAAAGCAAACAAAAATCAGAAAACAGAAAAACAAACAAAAATCCCTCAAATTTCCCTACATAAGCACATAAGCATAAGTAACACATAAGTATTACGGAGATTGTGGAAAAACAAATGACCTACAAGGCAACACCCAGGCACTGTAACAATTATGTTTTTATTTTAATTTTTTTAAAAAAATTTTTGACAGGCAAAGTGGACAGTGAGAGAGAGACAGAGAGAAATGTCTGCCTTTTCTGTTGGTTCACCCCCTAATGGCCACTGCGGCCAGTGCGCTGCAGCTGGCACACCACACTGATCTGAAGCCAGGAGCCAGGTGCTTCTCCTGGTCTCCCATGTGGGTGCAGGGCCCAAGGACTTTGGCCATCCTCCACTGCACCCCCAGGCCACAGCAGAGAGCTGGACTGGAAGCGGAGCTACCGGGACTAGAACCCGGGGTGCTGGCGCCGCAGGTGGAGAATTAGCCTATTGAGCCATGGCGCTGGCCAACAATTATATTTTAAAATAAAAATTCCTCTTGGGTTTCTAAGAAAAATAGCTGTGAGGGGCTGGTGCTGTGGCACAGTGTGTTAACACTCTGGCCTGAAGCACTGGAATCCCATATGGACACCATTTCTTGTCCTGGCTGTTCCTTTTCTGATCCAGCTCTCTGCTATGGCCTGGGATAACAGTAGAAGATGGCCCAAGTCCTTGGGCCCCTGGAAGCTGGGAAGAAGCTCCTGGCTCCTGCCTTTGGATTGGCCAGCTTCGGCCGTTGTGGCTATCTTGGGAGTGAACCAGCAGATGGAAGACCTCTCTCTCTGTCTCTACCTCTCTCCATTACTCTGTCTATCAAATAAATAAAATAAATCTTTAAAAAAAAAGAAAAGAAAAATAACTGGGAGTCAGGATTGTGGTTCAGCATGGTTGCTGTCACTTGGTACTCCAATACCACATACAATTGTGTGTGAAATCCATTCCCTCTTCTACTTCCAATTCAGGAGGAGCTGGTGTGTATTGATGTCAGCAGATAATAGCTCAGGACCTAGAATCCCTGACACCCATGGAGAATAGAATTCCAGGTTCCTGACCCAGCCCCAGCTGTTGTATAGGATTTTTGGAGTGAATCAGTGGAAAGATGACCTCCCTCTTCCTGTCATTCTACCTTTTCAAAAAAGAAAAACAAAAAAGAAAAATTTCAAAAGTTGTAATCATGTTTAAGTACATGGTTTTAGTATAAACGTGATTTACCATATATATCCTAAATACAGATTTTGATTTGTCTGCTCAGGAAGCAGCAGATTGTTGGCCTGCATGCTCATTCCATTCCCTGGGTTAACAGATGCTACTGGCGGAGATGCGAACCCACTCTGGCCCGCGGGGTGGCTTTCCTGCTGGACCACAGGCTGAGGAGAAATGCAAGTGATGGGCACTGAGTAGGACTTCGCAGCCCCAAACATGTCTGGCGCTGAGGCAGGCCAGTCTGAGCCTCCTGGCGACGGGGATGTGGGGAGTTCACTGAGCCGAAGTTGCCAGACTCCTCCTGCAG